TCATTACGTATACACACACACCTCTTTTTAGATGTACCATAGTTTTCAGAGTATAAGACGCTCCAAAGTATAAGATGCACCTAGGTTTTTTTTTGGGGGGGGGGGAAACGAACAAGGGGGAAAAAAATCTGGCTCTGCTTCCCAGAAATTTGCCTCCTTGTGGTGTTACATTTCAGACTATACTTGTATAGATGCTGTAAAAATTGATGTGGCTTTCTGGAAGTATAGTTTTTGTCTGCTATTTAAAAGGAGATACAATAGCACTGGACCTCTTCAGATCAAGCATTTATTTTAAAAAGCTTCTTCATTTTGTTAAGTTGTCTAGAACAATAATAAAGCAGTCTTTAAAAATAAGTCTAATAATTTGAACATTTTATAGGCATTTATAGTGACTTACCTCCTTGCAGCAAACAGAAAACAGTATGTTTCAGTTTAGCGTGATTAGAAGAAAAAAAATCTGCCTCTGCCTCCCAGCAATTTGCCCCTTGCAGCAAACAGCAAGTTTCAATTTCAGTTTCAGCAGGGCCTCCCAATGATCAGCTGTTTCAGGCTTCAGGGATTGCCATATCCTATTGCCGCCTCAGCAAGTCCCATTTTCCTGTTTGCTGCAAGGAGGTAAATTTCTGGGAGGCAGAGGCCAAAGTGTGGGGGCTGGTGGATGCGTGGGGCGGGGCTACATTCTGTGTATAAGACACACCCAAATTTTCACCCCCTTTTAGGGGAAAAAAGGTGTGTCTTATACTCTGAAAAATATGGTATATCCCAACGATACTGACTACTCACCTAATGAGCCTATTCAGGTTAGGTGGGAAATGAAACCACCCTGGAGGACATACTGTATATGGGGTTCCCCCAACCAACTTGCTCAGACTGAAGAAGCTACTTAGATAAGCAGTGAAATGTTTCTTACCAACAAAAAGTCCAGTTCCCATGACTGTACTTCCAGACACCTCTACCTGAATGACTGAGAATCTTCATCGACATATTATCTTCACTAATTTTCTTCCACCATTGTATCCTTACCAACATTTTTATATAGGACTGTACTTTCCTTCTATATTTCAAAAGTCAATGCCACACTTATATTGACATAATAGTTTGTCATACAGTATTTAAAGTGTTTACTTTGCAGCACTATGTTTTTTATCTCATAAGTGTATTAAGTGAAAATAAGGTTCAGTTTAAACAGATGAATGTGAAGGCTGTATGTAGCCAAATCTGTTTCAAACTTAAATGTTTTTGCTGCAATCTAAAGTCTAAAAGCCATCATTCCTTAAGATCTGAAGTGAGAAAAAAGGTAGATAAATCTCAAAAGCTCTTAACATTTTTTTCTGCACTGGAATACACTGAGACCTATAGATAGGCAAAAGAACTATGAAGTTTATGTTAATCAAAAAAATGTATGGTGCACCAATCTTCAGTGACTTGCATTATTACATATTCTTTCTCTTCCTTCTCTTTTAGTTCATTTTTATGGGTATTAATTAGTGCAGAACAAAATAATACCTGGTTTTTAAACTTGGCATGTATCTGTATTGTGCTGTCTTCTGTATGGAATTAAAAAGTGGACAATAAGTTTTAGTTTTTCTATTAGGAAGCTTAATCTAAAATAATAGTATCTGATGAAGTAAAGTATCCAAAATTCTGTATTTAAAACAAATTGAATTTGGAAAATTTCCCAATTTGTTCTAGAAACAGGGTTTATAATTTATTCTTCAGTCTAAATTCACTTTAAAAGTTGGCATTAGGAAGATTTTCATCAAGATGCAGTGAAACAAAAATTTCAATGAAACTTCTCTATTTTCTATTTTTAGAACTCTCCATAGACAATAAATAGTATAATACAGTCTTGCTTCATTCCTCTGTAAATCAGCATAATCAACTCCGTTCTTATTGACTGGATTTTCCCCCCAGGTGGGTTAATTAAGGGAAATTGAATTATTACAATGTCATAATTTATATTCTAATACACATATATACATATACATACACATACATATATATGTGCAGTTGAATTATCAGTATTATCCAAAAGTAGGAATAAGGAACACATTTTATCTGACATGGGTATTGGAAATTCTGTTAGTATGATGACCATAATATGGCAATTTGTTGCTCTAGAACAGCAATTCAAAAGTTTAATTTTGCATGGTATAGCTTTACTTTGGAAGTGCAGTTAATATGAGCTCCTGCTAGAGCTGGAGCACTAAATAAATGTACTATGCTTAACACCTTTGCATTTTGAGCATTCTTTAGATTAAGGGATGCACATATAAGGTCTACATATTTTGATACAGTGTTCTCTCATTTTATATTTTGTTCAGCATTTACAGCCGAACAATACCAGCATCATCAACAGCAACTGGCACTAATGCAGAAACAGCAGCTTGCACAAATTCATCAACAGCAAGCAAATAGTAATTCTGCAAACACTTCACAGGTGAGG